ATTTTTCAAATTTAATAGACATTCCTTGAACGAGTTACCGTAAACAGTGAAGTCGTCCATGAAGACTTCAATACCTTTCTCAATAAAATCAGAAAAAATACTGATCATACACCTTTGGAATGTGAAAGGTGCATTGAAAAGTCCGAAAGGCATACGTCGGTAAGCGAAGGTACCAAAGGGGCATGTGAATGTCGTCTTTTCTTGATCTTCAGGTGCTACTGGAATCTGGAAGAAACCTGAAAATCCATTAAGACAACAATAATGAGATTTTCCGGCTAATCGTTCTATCATTTGATCTATAAATGGAAGAGGAAACTGGTCTTTCCGAGTTAAAGAATTTAACTTCCTGTAATCGATGCAGACTCTCCATCTATTATGAACTCGTGTTGGTACAAGTTCTCCTTCAGAATTTTCAACCACAGTAACTCATCTTTTTTTAGGAACTACATGTACCGGACTTACCCATTTGCTATCCGAAATTGGATATATAATATCTGCATCTAGGAGTTTTTGTATCTCCTTTTTTACCACTTCCATCATTGGTGGATTCAACCGACGTTGACCCTCACGTGTTGGATTTACGCCTTCTTCAGTTTTAATTTTATGCATACAAGTAGATGGACTCAAACCTTTTATGTCAGCGATGGTCCATCCTATAGCCTCCTTGTATTGGCGCAAAACCGTGATCAAGTCTTTTTCCTCCTCCTCGGATAACCCTTTTGATATGATTACTGGCAGAGTATTGTTTGGTCCAAGGAAGGCGTATTTCAAGTGATCAGGCAACTGTTTAAGTTCAACTTCGGGTGCTTGTAGAACAGAAGGTAAGACTTTAGGCTTAGAAGAAATCAAATTCAATTATGTATGATCATAATTCATGTTTTCATCATGACCCTCCAGTTCCCTGCATATATCAAATGAAAAATTAGTCTTTAAAAATTCATCAGCCAAAGGATCAATTAAATCGACAGAATTTAAACTTTCCACTTTATCAGGATATCTCATTGTCTTATATACATCAAATTTAACGATCTCACCGTCGAACTCCATAGTTAAAATTCCGCTCCTCACGTCAATTTTTGTGTGTGTAGTGCTCAGAAAAGGGCACCCCAAAAGAATATCAGACGATGTGCTCGTGCGATCATTCTCCATGTTGATTATATAAAAATCGGAGGAAAATATCAAGTCATTTACCTCCACCAATACATTCTCTACGAGTCCTTCAGGATAGATTATTGACCTGTCGGTAAGCTGTATCGAAATCTTTGTGTCCTTCAAAAGATCGTTAGTGACCATTTTATAAATAGATAGAGGTATTACATTAATTGATGCACCAAGATCACACATAGCTCGTTTAATCTCAACCTTACCAATTTTACAAGGGATTGCAAACATACCTTGGTCCTTCATTTTAGGTGGTAACTTTCTTTGGAAACCGACTGAGACATTTGCTCCTAGGCTTAGTTTCTCGACTCCGGTAAGCTTTCTTTTTGTTGTACAGAGATCCTTTAAAAATCGGGCATACCTTGGAACCTTCCGGATAACCTCAAGGAGAGTTATATTAACTTCCACCTTCTGAAGTACGTCTAATATTTCCTTTTCATCGGTTTTTTTTATCTCTTTTGACTAGCCTCGACGGAAAAGGCGATGGCACGTCATAGGGAGATGGTGTTGGGTCGTCTATTTGTTCTTTGTTATTCTTCTCCTGGGACCCTGAATCATCAGTCGTCTTCTCTTTCTGGGTCACTTCGTTCGATGGAACAGGTGGTCCCACTACTGTACCGCTTCGAAGAGTGATGGCGCTGACGTTCTCCCTCAGGTTTACTTCAGTTTGAGATAGAAGCTTACCTTGTGATTCCAAGTGGCTTACGGTTTGAGCTATTTGGCTTATCCTTTTCTCAATCTCTTGGAAGTTTGCTTCAGTTCGAGTCTGGAATTTTTCGTGGGATAGTACTAACCTCTCGACAATCGATTCTAATGATGACTTCTGCGGTTGTTGCGGTGGTGGAGGTCTCGCTTGATAGCCTTGATTCGGTCTCGATTTCTGGGCATAACTGAAGTTCGGATGATCCTTCCATCCTGGGTTGTATGTATTTCCGTAAGGATTATAAGCTCTTTGGGGAGGTCCCGGGAAATTCCCAACTGTGTTGACTTGAGCTGCTACGTCGTCTTGAATCAGTGGACAACCGTCTGTTGGATGATCAGGTAATGCACATATTCCACATAATCGGTTTTGTCCTGTCTTTCCTGCAACAAGAGAGTTTACGACTTCAGTTAACTTGTCAATTTTATTTTCTAAGGAATATGAACTTATCTCATGAACCCTTCAAGAAGGTTCATTGTTTGTGCGAAATTGTTGGGAATTTGCAGCCATCGTGGATATTAAGTCCCTAGCTTCTGTAGGAGTCATAGTCACCAAGGCTTCACCGCTGGCTGCATCGATCATCTTCATTTCCAGGGGAGATAGTCCTTTGTAAAAGTAGTGAAGGAGTGTTTGTTCGGTTAACCCATGTTGCGGGCAACTAGAACATAACTTCTTAAACCGTTCTCAGTAGTCGTAAAGTGACTCTCCATCAAGTTGTTTGATTCCGAGTATTCTTCTTCGTAGTTCACTTACTTTTTCCGCAGGGAAAAAACTATCAAGAAAAAGACGAGTCATGTGAGCACGTAGTAATAGAATATCCTCGTTTGGCAATCCTCGACTGTGGGTCAGGAGATGAATAAGGCCAGTTTTCAATTGGTACGGAGTTTCAACTTGGGGAAAATCAATGCACATAGGCCAGTTTTCAATTGGTACGGAGTTTTCAGTGGGTGCCGCGACTAACTCCCGAATAGTAGGTTTGACCATCATAATTGTATTACCTGAATTTGATTCTTCTTCTGGATTCGTTTGTTGTCTCCTTATTTCCCGAAGTGTCTGTGCGTGGAGTCTCCTAGCTTTAGCTTCAATCTCCGGGTCGTACACCACTAATGCTCCCGGATTAGACCTGGTCATAAATCAAAAGCAAACAAAAATTAGTAACTTTGGCGAAGTCCCCGACAACGACGCCAATTTGATAACTATCGTTTCGATGTCAAAATAATTTCCTTCTTCTCGAATAATAAATAAAGGAAAATTCGTAGTGTAGAGAAGTAGGGTCGAATCCACAGGGACTTAGAAAATTCTTAATTTATGTTTGATTGGTCTATGTCAGGCTTGAAAGATAGTAAAATGGGGGGGTTTGGTAGAATGAGATTTAAGTAGTAATAAAAATGATTAAATAAATAAAAGCAATTAAAGTAAAAAATAGAGAATAAAGATTGTGAATAAATACGGTAAAAATAGCCTCAAGCCTTGCTTTGACTCAATTTTCTTTAGATCATCGAATAAGATTTTCTCTTCGGGATTCACGTCGGTTACTTTGTGTATGAGGGCTATCCTTGTAACTCTACCTTATATACCGAATACCCAAGGCAATCTTTGATTCCGGCTTCGGGAATTGATTCTATCAATATCAATTATCGTAGATCAATTACCGTTTAAGTTCGTTGCGACCGACTCGGATTGTTGCTTCTATAACCGTCAATTCCGATCTCAAATCCCTCTTGGCGAAGCTATCTCACCAATTGTGTTCCCAGGAAGTCAAATTACTTTCTATAAGCCGAATCTTCATTCCACATGTTTAATCGCAACAACCTCTTGACCAAAGTCAATCTTTGATTTTGAAAAAGAATAAGCACAGAGATTGAGAGAGATTTCCAAAGATATTAGGGACATGTTTTAATTCTCCCGTTGGAATTGAGTCATCGCGATAACTCTCGATTTATGAAAAGTTTAGCTAAGCATGACAAAAGTCAAACTTAGCATATTAAAAACAAGTTTGAAAATAAAGAAAAATAAAAGAACTTGAAAAAGGAAAAAGAGAAAACTTTTATAAAAACTAGAGAGAAAAGAAGAATGTATTCCGAATGATGAGTTTAGGCTTACCCCAAGTGGGTATTTATAGCCTCTCAAAGCCTAAAGGATAAGAAAAGAAAATAATTAAATAATAAAAAAGATAATTGTTTTTAAATTTAAATTCAAACTTACACTAGTCTTTTAATGCAACTCTACTCGTCAATCTTCCAGAAGGCGTACAGACGAAGTCCTCTAGAAACCGCCGCTGACTGGACCTTCTAGAAACTGCCACGTCAGACCGCGTCGTGCCCAGAGTCGTGCCCATGTCTCCAGCCGTGACCAAATAATAAAAAAAATACAGAATTCACCCGTTTTATCACTAATTCTGGAAAGTAAGGACCTGTACGAAAATATGCATAGAACAACCAAATTAGCAGCAATATCTCCACAACATCGAAGAAATAACGAGAAAAGATTAACTATTCTGAACACTCATCACTTTCCCATGATAGATCAAAATGATTCCCAAAGTTCAGATTATAGGTATTCTCATTGGTATAGGCATTGTAATTTCAAATGTAGCTTCTTGGGAAATACATAGAAATGGGATTTTGAGGGTATTCCTCAAAATTATGATTGTCACCATAATAGATACAATTAATAATAGATATTGATTTCACTTCATACATACCTTCATGTTGTTACATCTTCATCACCATCTCAATCAATGTTGTGATTTGAAAAGCCATGGAATTGAAAGCATCAATATCCATTGCTACAATATTGCATCTGCTAAACATGATCGTTGTGTTAGGATATGGTATTCATTGCTGGAGATTCTCTCAAGGATGTCATATGTTTCATTATAATACTTGTCCATCAATTCTCCATTGATTTGAAAAGCCATGGAATTGAAAGCATCAATATCCATTGCTACAATATTGCATCTGCTAAACATGATCGTTGTGTTAGGATATGGTATTCATTGCTGGAGATTCTCTCAAGGATGTCATATGTTTCATTATAATACTTGTCCATCAATTCTCCATTAGCAGAGGTATCTTCAACCATTCGGGTTTGCATGTTAAGACCATTGTAGAATATCTCTATTTATGTCCAATGTTGGAAACAATGCATCGATCATTTGCACAGTAAATCTTTAAATTGCTCTCATGCTTCATAAAAGCTCTCATTCTCCAACTACTTGCAAGATGTGATGTCATTCCTCAATTTAACTTTCTTGCTGGGTGGATTGAATGCATCAAAATATTTTGTGCCAAGTCATTCCATGATGTTATACCACTAGAAGACAACGAGTTAAGCCATGCTCTAACATTGTCATGGAGTGAGTGGGGAAATAATTTCAGCTTCAGTGCATGTACGGGCATTCCTTGATGTACAAAAGAATCGCACATATTCATGAATTCTTACAAGTGTACTCGAGGGTCCTCAGTGTGTATCCCATTATATTTCCTAATTAACTCTAGCATTTGGAACATCATTAGCTTTAGTTCGAAGTTGGTAGCATGGATGACAAGCATCACGATGCTAGGATATAAATTATCCAATGTCGGTGCAATATGCTCTCTAAAAGGTCAGTTACGATCATCCATATTGTAGCAATGCTATGGTATTGGAACATTTAGTAATTGCGGAACACAATATTAAGCCATGTTTATTTGTTGTTGAAATTGGTGTTCCGAATGTTGATGTGTGTCATGCACTAGCAATGTTATGCTAAAAAAATACGTACAAAAAGAAAATAAACAAAGTTAATAAAAATAAACAAAATAATTCTAATGTAATACCATTGCTCCCCTGCAATGGCGCCAAAAACTTGATGCTACGAAAATACTATAGCATTTACGTAAGTGAACGTGTCGTAAATCAAGTAATAAAGTGGACACTATGAGAGTGTCGGGTGTTGAACCCACATAGAGAAAGGAATTACATCTTAGAATTGCTAGTCTCAAATAGAAAAAGATAAGGTTAAAGTAAGATAGTGATAGAAATAAAAAAAAAGTAATAAAGAAAAATTCTATATGGAAGGGAATGCAGTAGAAATCAGGAGAGTAAATAGACCACTGGACCAATAAATGCTGATGTCCTTTGGCAGTTGATAGTATGATTATGTTGTGGCAATACAATTATGCGACTTGAAATGATTACAAATTAATCTCCTTTCCTAAATACTAGTGTTGTACATAATTAGCCTGCAACATTAATAATTCCATCTCTAAAAATCATCAAAATTACATACATAAAAATACTTTTATTTCTAAAAAAAATATTTCTTAAAGCTCCAACACATAAAAAATGTTATTTCAAGAAAAAATCATAAAACAAACATTTCACCAAACACCTTATGTTCAAATCCAAAAAACACCATAAAAATTATAACATTCAAACTAAACAAAGTTTCTTTCTTCTTTCAAGTAAAGACACTAAGAAAGCTTGAACCCTAAATGGTCATCGCAGCTACATCGATGTTGATGCTCCAGTTGCTGATATATTCCTTGGTGGATTCAAACCTCCATGGCCAGTGGAGATACTAAAATAAAATGAAGATGAAGAAAGGTTGAAGAAGAAGTCTCAAAAGTGTGAAATGATGCCTTATTTATAACCTTTAAAGGCCAAAACATCATCTAATAAGAAAAATATGATTTTCCCTATATTTTCCATCCATTTTACAGATATATTCGACAAGTGTCTGAATCTAAAAAATTTCATAATTGTCTACTGAGTCACCAGTTATTGCAACATCTGTTCAATAGTCCTTGTAGCTCCAAGCAATGCTATAGCATAAACGTACCAGATTACATCATAAAATATTAAAATTAACCCAAATTCTATCAACTCACTCCCATGATGCAAATGATAAAAAAATATAAACATGATCCTAATATGATCCTAATGATACTAAAGTTCAAGCTCAACCTCAGGAAAAAGATCCTAAATAATGACTCTTTTAGAGAGTTATCAACCACCTTACACCACCAAGCTGATTAAACAAGTCATCAATAAAAGGGATTGTATACTTTTTCTTCACCATGAGTTTATTCAAAGTTCGGTAATCGATGCACATATGCCATCATTATTATTCTGAAACAAAATTGGGGCGCCAAAAGTTACTTTAGGCGGAAAGATGTACTCAACATCGAGGAATTACTTCAACTACCTGTGAAACTCCTCTAACTCATATGGAGCCATTCGGTAAATGGCTCTAGCGGGTGACTCCGTATTTCTCACAAGTTTAATCTTGTGACCATTTTCCTCTTTGGTGGCAAATTCTTGGCAATTTCGAATGTATTACATCACGAAACACTTGTGCCACATCCTCGGGGACTTGCTCAACCTTGTTAGTCTCATAAACCATAAAGCTTACCAAACAGGTCGATTCCTACCTGCGCACTACCTTTTTAAACTGAATAACTAACACCAACTTGGCCTCAACTGCATAACCTCGGTTCACCGGAACAATACACTGATGCTTTGGGTCAAGAATACCAAACAGTTGATAAATGGAACAATGAACACATTAATTTGGTCAAGGAAACTAAGGCCAACCACAAAGTCAAAATCATTTAGGGGAATTACCTTAATCATTTCCTTATCGATCCACTCACCAAGTCTAAGTTCGACTCTTTTTATCTACATGGTAATTAGAGCTTCCTTGGAATTGACTGTTTTGATGAACCCTTTTACCTTCTCAACATGGAGGTTAAGTCTTTTGGTAGTCTGTTCGGACATTAACAATTATGGGGCACTCGTATCAACTGACGCACTCAGTTTCTGGCATGCCATGCTAACATCTATAAACATCAGCCCCTTCTTCTTATGTCTCTTATTAGCTTCCAATGAACACATGATAGAACCAATGTTTGGGACCTCTTCTGGTCCATGAAACTCCTCGATGGTCGCCATTTTTTTTATTTCGCGGGTAATCCCTTGCATAGTGGTTCCCCTCAGGTGAAACACTTAAGAGACTCAATGTTCATTTCTCATGGCTTGTAAGACCTATTGGGTCTATCACTCAGCTTATTCAGAGGCTTGTCAGAACCAACTTTAAATGTTCTCTCCCTGTCTCCCCCATCATTACCTCTGGGTTTTGGCTTTGGTTTGGAAGGCTCGGTTCTTCGGATTTCAAATTAGGCAATGTCTTCAACTTCCTCCAATGCCTTAGTAAGATCCTGCACTCCCCTACGTTAGAACTCTATGTTTGCCCACTGTTGTAAGCCATCCATTAAGGAAAAGTAGCCTTTCGTCTCACTTAGATATGGATTATGTAACTTTAACTCAGTGAAGCTATTGGCATAGTCCATTATTGAACGATCATGCTTCAATTGCTTTAGTTTTGCTTGAGCTTCCAACTAGGCATTCTTTAGATAAAATTGTGTCCTGAGTTCTTGATCAAACTCTTTCCATGTCTTGAAGGGAACAACTTTTTCCTTTGTCTCAAAACATCTACGTCGCCACCGCAAACAAGCAACATCAGTCAAATAACTAGAAGTAGTGTTTACCTTGGTGATATCATCTTCGATACCCTTTCCACGAAAATACTGTTATATGCCCCAAATAAAGTTCTCCAAATTTTGGGTTCTCCATGACCCTTTGAACTCTTTAGGCTTTGGGACATCAATCCTGGGTGGGGGTGCTTGAGCTTCGCCCCTCAGTCTACTCTTCACGACAACCTTGTAAATGGGTAACTCACTCTCAAGTTCATTTATCCTTTCAGTGAGCTTGGACTCCGCTTTCGCCACTTTTTGTTTTGCAAGAATCTCCATCTCCCCCTTCAAACTTACTATCAATTCTTTGGAGGCCTTGATTTAGTCGTCCAACTTTTTGTAAACTGCATCGACAAGTAGATCCCTGTCCAAGGATCAGAGCTTCCATAAATGGGGTTATTCCTCATCTTGGATCTCATACATCTTTCACATAATTTTCTAATCTCGTAACCCTCATCTCCATCGAAAAAATAAAATTCTCTGGTTGGTGCTCTTTTCCTCTACATCTTTATCAAATTAACATCTTTAGGTACTGCTCACTTCTTCCCCACATTACGATTCTTGATCAGCTCGACTGTTGAAACTTTCTTTTGTTGCTGTGGGGCCATCTTTATTCTCGAACCTTACTCTGATACCACTTGTCACTAGAATCCTGAACTAGAAGCCGTACAACCTTAGATGTTTTCCTGAGTAAAAATGGCTAAGTCAGCTTGAACCGCCTAAGTAAAAACACTTAGAAAATGGAGCAGAAATAGGAAGAACTTCAAAAGGGAAATTCCTCACAACAAGAATAAGAGAAATTGAGAGAATAACTTAGCTTTATTCAACTCTGAATGAAAAATGAGGTGGGAGTAAGCCTCTTTTTATAGTGAAACTCCCTACATCCAATGATAGAAATCGAATCTAATCAATGGCTAAGATTAAAAGGGAATCCTATCTAAATATTTACAATATCTTTATTTGAATTTAAAATAAAAGATAATTATGTAAAAACAAAAAAGACTTATTCAAATCGAGCCAGCTTAAGCTTCAGTGGCCCAAGATGCTTCAGCATGATCCTATGTTGGCCTAGTACCGCAATATGGTGGCTTGATAATGCCCTTAGGGTGGCCCGGAAGGGTCTGGATGCACCTTGACTAGTTCAGTCTGCACTTGACTCGGTTGAGGCCTGGTAGTCTATGAAAATATTCATAGCCTATTTCAATTCTACTTTGGCGGGCCTTTTTTAGGTGATCAAAGAACTCTTTGGCTTATCTCGGTGGGCACTGAAAGTTGGTGGATTTGGCTTGCTAGAAATGAGCAAATTTTTAAAGAGTGGCATGCAAATTTAAAAGATTTATCATTCTTTACAAAACTCCAAACCTTGTATTAGATTAAAGGGACAAAGGACGAGTGGTCTCCAAGCCATGATGAATGGTGGGAAATTCTGCAGTGCATTATGGTGGGTCCAGCAACAAAAGAAGTGGTTAACTTCGAATGGTCTCCATCGAGGGAAGGCTGTGTTAAATTTAATGTGGATGGAGCATCGAAGGATGATGTTTTTGGGTGTGGGAGTGTGTTATACATGGAGGATGGACTTTCAAGTCTCAGGACCGATTGAGGGCTACGAGGTAAATTTTGCTGAACTCATCGCAATTAAAATAGCCTTGGAAGTGTTCCTCGAGGCCAGTCGGACTAAGAGGTGTTAATTGTGAAATTGAACTCCAAAGTGGTTCTAAAATGGATTTT